AGATACACCAGCGCCTTGGCCACGTCCAGGGCGATCTGCCAGCGGTGGACGAAGGAGAGAACGGTGTTGGGATGCTTTGATCGTGGTTGTTGCTGCTGCTGTCCCTTGGTGAGAAAGTCCTGCAGAGAGCCGTTTTCAAGGTACTCAGTAACGATGCACAGGCTGGGCCCGTCGTTGGAGTAGCCAAAGAGGCGAATCAGGTTGGGGTGCTGCAGGCGGTACATGGTGGTCAGCTCGGCGATGAACTGGCTTGTTTTGGAGTCTTCCTGCTCCTGCTCAGCCGCCGCCTGCAGACTGGGCAGCTGCTTGAAGCGCTTCACGGCGACGTACTTCAGGCGGGCCAGTTCAGGAGGGCAGTTGAGGTGAGCCGTGGCGCAGCGAAAGACCTCGCCGAAAGAGCCCTCGCCCACTTTGGCGCCTCCTTCGCCGATGTCCGCCGGGGAAAAGTTCTCCGTGGCGCGTTGAAGGTCGCGGTAGGCAAATCGAACCGGTGACAGAGTGGTCTCCTGATCACTGGAAGAAGATGGTAGAGGTGGTGTTTGCTGGTTGCCCAACAAGTAGAGATCTTCTTTGGTGTCCTCCTCACTGCTGAAGGAGATCAGGGAGCGTGTGGGTGCACTGGGCTTCAGTAGAGAGCTGCTGCTGTGGTCATTGTTGCTGCTGCTGATGATGAGATTGTCCGCCACCGAGCTGTATTCGGGCAGCTTGTCTGAGGACCAGCTCACCGATCGGCTGTTCAGATTAGGCGGTGGCTTCTTCTCAAAGAATGCCGAATCCTCCTCTTCTTTATTCTTTTTGCCTTCATCTCCCTCCTTTTTAGTTGACTGCTGACTGCTGACGCTGGCCCTCACCAGATCGGCCGCCCGGTTCAGGGCACACGCCTCCAGAAAGTGGATCGCCTCTGCGATCGTATGCCTCCGTCGGCCATAGGTGCCCCAGTACTCGAGCAGGGCGCCGGAGGAGCTGCAGCCAGGTCGCTTTCGCTGCTCTTCCAGCAGGGCAATGTCGGTGGTCTTCAGCAGCAGCTCGCCGGGGCGGTCCGGGTTGGGCAGTGAGCTGGCCAGCGTCTTCCAGTTGTCGTTCACGTCCAGCAGGCCGATCAGCTGGTGGCGGTGGGTGGCCGGCAGGTGACGCAGTTCACTCTCCAGACTGATCATCCGGTCCATCTTCAGGATCATGGCAGTTAGCTGCTGAGCTGAGGTGTGTGTGCTGAGGATGGTCAAAGCTGTTGATGCTCAGGCAAATGAGCAAGCGAGCTTATCTCTCGAACATAGTCTCCCTCTTCAAGTCTGTATGTGTGGTGGTGGCCACCACGAGCAGAGGCGACAACAACAACAAGTGCAGCAACAGCAGCAGCAGCTTGTGCAACTTTCCCTCATGATCGGCTGTGAAGTTTCGTGCTGTCTTTTTTGAATATCTGCACAAGAAGTGCTTTTGCAAGTGGACACTTTTGTGCTGACGTTTAATTTGGAACGCTGAATGAGAAAGAGAAAAAAGTGATGAGGTTTAAACGATGTCATCATCATCATCACTTGAATCGTCCTCATCCTCGTCGCCTCGTCGAATTCGCTTCCTTTTTGTGCTGCGCTGCTTGCGGGACTTTTTGCGGTGCTTCTTTTTGGCGTGATATTCATCACTGTCATCATCCTCATCACCGCCCTCACTGCAGCTCCAGAGTGCGGGCACGCTGACGACACTGCGCGATTCCATGTCATACCAGAGGAGGTAGCGATGGTAGCCACCGCAGAGGAGGCCACAGACGTTGGCCAGGTTGAGGAAGAAGTAGAAGTAGTAGGCGAAGCAGAGGCGACACACCAGATGACCGGTGATGCCCACCACAAACAGCGTCAGCAGGTACTGGTGCCCAAGCAGCCAGTAGAGGTACACCACACTGGGGTGGGAAAGAAGATTGTTAGGGAGAAAGTATCATCAATTGGAAAGAGTGACCTACCCGGCGAGCAGACTGTTGCCGTAGAAGAAGATCTTCGCATTGAGCACCGTCAGGCTCTTGTCCGGCTCAAAGTAGAAGCCGGTGGGCTCGACGTCGCGAATGTAGATCAGCTGCGCACTGAAGAAGAGGAAGGCAGTGTCGAGGAAGAGCAGGTACTTCGCCAACAGGCCAAAGTTCACCTCCACAAGCATGACACACAGGCTAGTGAGACAAGATCAAACTGATGACCTGAAAAAACTGTTTTTTGCTGTAAGCTTTAGCTGGTGAAAATGGTGAAAGTTTTAATGAAAGTTTATTGTTTACATGTTGTTAGTACACGTTGTGAAACAAAGAGACGGTTGTAGCGATTGTAATAAGAATTCGAATTCGAAATGAATGAAAAAATTTTCAGCGGTTTTTCAGATGAGTTTTACATTAACAGTGCGGTCCTCTTTTGCGGTCCTTTTTTAGGCCAGGTACTGGTAGGTGTCCTTGGAGCCTTCAGATCGCTCGAGGTACTCCTTCTCAATGAGTATGTCGACGCATTTCTATAAATAGAAAACGGGGGCGTTAGAAAAAGAGCTTGTCAGATAAGCAGAAAAGTCATTACCTTGATAACATTGACATTGGGCTTGAATCTCGACGACAGCTGATTGATCACTTCCGCCAGCAGTTGCTGATGCTTTAGCGTGCGGCGCATCTTCATAATACGTACAATGGCGGCCTGCAAGAAAAAAATGGAGACAACGGTTAGTTGGTGAACGGTGGACAAAATTTTGACTCTTAAACAAGCGTTACCTGAATGACCAGCTTTCGGTCCTCCTCAATGTGCTTGTGCGTCTTCTCCTGGTCCTGCTTGATCTCCGCCTTCATGGGCACGTTAATGTTGACGCGCAGCTTCTTGTTCTTGTAGCCGAGGAAGAGCGAGAGGGTGGTGTTCTCGTAGAGGGTGTACTCGTCGCCGTTGCCCTCACATGCAATCGGCCCGCTGCCGTTTTTAGAGTTGCTCGCCGGCTCGTTGCCCATGCCCAGGCCGGCGTCGTCGCTGGCCATCACCAGCAGCTTCGCCTTGAGCAGAATCTGCAACACCTGTACGAGCATCTCCTTCTTGATGTTGGTGCTGTCAAAGAGTTGAGCCACGGTGTAGCTGTCATTGTTGTTGAACTGCAGCAGGACGGCGATTTGATAAGTGGAGGCCTACAAAAAAAGGGAATTGTGTTTAGCATTCGGTAGGATCATCTTTACGGGTTAAATGCTTACTTGGAGAGTGTACTTGTTCTTGAAGCAAGTGGTGACAACTTCACCCTTAGACATGCTGTACAGCCAGTGAAGCTTTCGACCACTGTGCTGACTACTGTAGAAAGTGGTAAAGCGGTTGATGCACTTTTCCAGCTGAAAGAAACCAATGCGAGTTAGTACTAAGATAAGACGGAGAAAAAAGATGAACAAATTACTTCATTGGGGAGGACAAATGTGAATGTTTGTTGAAAAGGCCACGATCCAGAGCTGAGAACTTGGATGCCGAAATCAATGTCAAGGGGCTGCTCGTTAGAGCTGCTGAGGTTCTTCTTGAAGAGCTCATTTAAATCTTTGCTCACTCCAATGTCCTGGAACATTCGCTGGAGCTTAGACGTATACTCAAAACCGCAAGAGTGCTGAAAAAAGTAAACAATCAAGTTAGAGCAGTTCGTGTAAAAAAGTCTAATACAAAGTTTTCATTACCTTAAGCTTAGATATCATACTAGCTTCAGCGTCGTCGCTTGCAGAGAGGTGCTGCACCAGTCGCTTGGCCAACATTTTGCTGTAAAACTTCTGGAAAACGTCCTTGTCCTCAATGTACTTGAAAACAATCATCTAACAAAGGAGGGCAATGATTAATACCAAAAAAACTAATCCTCCTCAATCATCAAACAACACACATACCACTTGGTTGAGAGTGTCTTCAAGTTCATTTTCTTCGTGAATCTTTGAAGTCTTCTTCAAGAGGAGATCGCAAAACTTTGCCAGCAACTCGGGCGACTTGCTAGATGAATTGGCCACTTTGGTAACTGAGTTGTTGTTGATGAATTTACCGCAGGCCTTAACAAGAAAAGTGTTTAGAGAAAAGGCGGAGACCAAAAATCAGCAATAACAAAAGCCACTTACCTTATCGAGGGCAGCAACAAAGCCGGTGTCATTAGCGAATGATTCCTGAACCAGGGTGCTGTACTTTTTGTGGACTTGCAAAATGGTGTTGACATAGTTTTTAGGGTCTTGGGCAGCAGACTCGCCACACTTTTCAATTGCCGCGAGGCCTTGCGTGTAGATGTGATTTTCCAGACGGCTCTTGAGCTCGGTCAGTCCGTCGGGAATGCGCAACACTAGCTGGTACATGCGCCCCAGATCTTCGTTTTTGTCATCATTGAGTAGGTTCTGAAACTCCTGGTGAAACTTCTCCAGGTGATCTTCGATCAGCACTTTCTCACAGGTCTGCATCAGCTGAGGAAGGGTGTCCTTATGCAGGTAGAGCATGATTCGACGATTCTCCTCGTTGATTCGCTGCTCCGCCTTCTTCATGTACTCGGTCACCGAGTTGGAAGCGAGGAACGTTTCACTCTCCAGCTTGTAGAAGCGCTCAGTGTCGACGAAGAACTTGACCTCAAAGGCCTCGTGGTACACATTCAAGCTTGGCCCTTTGTTCCCATCATTGTCGTTGATGCCTAGCTCGACTAAAAAATAGAGAAATAAAGACACAAATGTTAGACAAAACCGAATGATTAAAATGCCCAGCAGAAGGGTGATCTTACCATAGCAGCCCATAACTCCGCTGATGAGACTAGTATTGATGGTTTCACCATTTCGCTCCTTCTCAATCAGCTTCAGAACGGCATTCGTAACGGGGTGATTTAAAGATGAGAAGAGCACTTCACGCCAGGTAACGAGAGCCAACTAAATAGAGCAAAAGTTTTGTCAGATAAAAGTACTCATCATAGAAAAGAAACAGATAAAAACATGCCTGGTAGATCTCGTAGATTTCCTTCCGCCCTTCATCACACTCTCTCTTCACCCAGTGACGGTTAAGATACGAGCAGATGCCGTTCAAGACGCGACTGGAGAACTGGTAATCATCCCAGTGTTTGGTGAAGAAGCGCAGCACGTTTTCGTCCGACAGATCAATTCCTTCCTAAAATGGGGAAGACACAGACAAATAATGTAAACAAAGAGGTAAAAATCCTCATCTTAGATAACACTTACGTTTAGAAGTTTGTTAAGGTACTCTTTGAGAAATTTACTAAGACGTTTGTAGAGCTCAAAACCAACGAACTGGGCCCCGCTGTTTGCGACGACGTTGTTGGCACAAGAATTGCGACCAGACGTTCGGTTGGACGGTCGAATTGGAGTCTGCCCTTGCACGATGGGCCCGCTGTTGACCGCTGTAGAGTGGACCGAGGTGCAGTAATTGTAAACATGGCTAAAGAGTAAAGTAAGTTGAGAAAAAGAATTACGTCATTGGAAAACAAAGAAAGAAATGACAAAGAAATTCCGCTTTTTCGCCCATACCTGTACATCTCCATGTACCGCATCTTGCTGATGGATTCATTCTTAAACACCTGCGCTATTCCCTGGGAAAGATCCTCCCAGAGAACGGCTAGATCCGTCGATTTAAGGGTCGCAGGCAAGGGATTGGTCATCATCGAGTTTGTTGTTTTTGTTAAAATGTAGAAAGATTAACACAACACAATGCTGAGTGAGCAACGCACAGACTGCGACTGAATGCGGCGGCGCAGGCACAGCTGACGACGAATGGAATGGAGAGAGTCTTGTAAACTGCAGTACGAAAAGTTAGGCAGTGCATTTTTCCGAACCTTTTGCCGCTGCCCGTGCAAGTCAAGCCAAGTAGCGGCAGCACCGTCGCAGCACGGGGAAGGCTACAGTTGGAACAACAAATCGGCCAAACTTTTCTGATGATAACTGAAAAAAAATTTCCTTTGTGCCCCTACATCTAAGTCTGCAGAAAGTCTTCCCATGGGAAAAAGCGTGTTTGCCTCCGTCTGCTTCTGCCTGCCTGTCCTACCTCACCTGCTGCTGCATCCTTCTTCCAAGGGACCTGGCCCCCCGGTCGGTATCATGGTCACCACGTGGACTGCCCTCTCGAGGAGATCTTTGTTCTTGGGATCACCCATTTAAATCTCTGTTATCAGTTGCAATGAAGGCTACTGCAACCGTTGCACAAGTGCTGCTGCAGCAGAATCAAGTGACGCACCTGTACACTGCCGACGACGACCTAGGTTCGCAGTAAACAGAGTGATGCTATTTACGGCGGTAGTTGAGTGATTTGTTGCTTCAGTAGTAGAAGCAGCTCTTGCACCACTGGTTGCCATCAAGTGATGCGACTGCCATCCTCGTAGAAATGTCAATGTCTCTGGTCGAATGGTGCAACCACCACCAACTCTCAAGTCATCGGCTTCGGCTCTGGCGTCTGCTTACGCAGCAACAGCAGCAATCAAGCTAAGCCAGATGAGCGTGGGCAAGAGATTTTGTGTTTGCGTCTGAAGAACGAAGATTGAGAAACATGCCGCACGAACTGCTTCCTACTTTCTTTTTCTTTTTCTTCGACTTTTTTTGTTGTTACCATCGCCAACAATCGAACGGGCACGGCATTAGAGTTGCTCAAGCAAAGCCGGCCACAGTCATTTGCAGCCTGCCGTTGTTTGTTGGCACTGATTGCCCCGTTGATTGAGGCTTCCTCTTTCTTCAGCCGCCGGTACAGCAAGCCTTCCTTTTCAGATGTCGGGAAAGTCAAATCAGTCGCTCTCGAAGGGAAAGGAGAAGCTGTCCAAGAAGAAAAAGTCGAAATCGAAGTCAAAGTCAGGCAAAGAGCTTCAAAAGAGCTCTCTGGAGCAGTCCTCCTCCTCCTCCTCAAGTGTTGTCAGCTCTTCAACTAGTAGTAGTTCAACTGTGGTCGACAGTAGCAAAGTGGTCTCCTCCGAAGCCGACGAAGCTGAAGATAACCGGAACCTGCTGAAGAGAATTTTCGAAAAAATATCTCACAATCCAAACGACTGGGCCAACTGCACCGCCATTCGCATTGAACTGGTTGCAAGGGATCCCAAAAACCACAAGTCCAAAGAAGGTGGCGGAGGATCGGCTAAGCAAACCAAAGCTGTTAGTTCAGTAAAAGTGTCGCCCAACAAAAGTACCGAGTACCCAAAAGCAACTGCATTGGTCAAGTTGACCGGCTCTGAAGAGAAGGAGGCGTCAGCCAAAAAGAAAACGACTCAAGCTGACGACAGCCCCCGAAAAGGGAAGGAAAAAGTTCGAAAGGAGGAGAAAGAAAGTAAACAAAGCACTGAGCAGTAGAACGACTGTTTATTTGTCAACTTCAACTTTTTCTGCTTTCATTTTATGCCTTCAATTTCAAACCGCATTCTCCCGAATCCACTTGAGGTACTCGGCGACGCGAGTGTACACGCCCGGGTAGCCCGCCTGAGCACAGCGATTGCCAAAGGACACTAAACGAAGAATTGATAAGTTTCAAACTGTTTGCTCATCATCATCTCATTTCACCACCACAAATACACTCACCCACGCCCACAATGGTCCACTTGCGCGTACTGTCGGCGAGCATCAGCGGCGATCCGCTGTCACCTTTAGCGAAATTCAGTTCGGTTAATCATCGTCATCAGTTACTACATCTCGCGTTACCTTGACAGGCATCCTTCCCGCCCTCCACAAAGCCCGCGCAGAGAAAGTTTTTGCCAATGGGCTGAAAGTACCGCTTGTCGCAGTCGACATTGTCCCAGACGGGCAGCGAGACCTGCTGGAGGACGCCGCTGCTCTGCCCGCCGTACTTGGTGGTGCCCCAGCCGACGACGGTGGCCACGTAGCCGACCAGGTTGCGTCGGCGGTACTGCTCGTCGGGCAGGCAGATCGGCGAGACCGTTTCGCTGAACTGCGCCGGCCGGTCGAGCTTCAGCAGGCAGATGTCATTGTAGAAGCCGTTGCGCTTGAACTCGGGGTGCTGCAGCACGGACACCACCTTGAAGGTCTGCGCCGGCGGCAGGCCCTCCTCCTCCACCTCGCTGTTGATGTTGTGCTCGCCCAGCTTGATCAGCAGCTGCTCCTTTCGGTAGCTAGGGAAGGGAAGAGTGATACTAGACTGTTTGTTTATCTATCCGTTATCAGCTTACGTCTGGCCTCGGTGATCGGAGAGGCAGTGCGATGCGGTGATAATGTAATACTTCCCGATCAGTGCCCCGCCGCACCAGTACTTGCTGCCCTTGGGGGTGGTGAGGAAGATGGCCGCCTGGAGGAATGATAAGATAGGGTAATGTGTTATCAGTTTTATGCCAGTGTCACTTACCACCCAAGGCCACTGGCCAGGCAGGGCGTCCTCGCCGCCGACGATGCGAGCATCGCGACCAGAGAGACCGCATTCTGGAAAGGAAATGGGAAACTGTTTAATCTGGGAACACTGTTGAACATTTTGCTTACCTTCAGTGGAAATCAGCGAACTTCCTGGTTCTAGTACTTCGGGTCTGGCTGTTGTAGTGGTAGTTGTTGTTGTTGTTGACGTTGTGGTTGTGGTTGATGTGGGCGCTCTGAATGGTGGCGGCGGTCGCCGGTTGTTTGAAGGGAAACTGGGCTGATATACGACATTAGGTCGAGATGTGTGCGAAGACCACACAAAGTGGTTTGGTCGACGAGTGGTCGTGGTGGTAGTCGTGGTGGTGGTGGTAGTCGTTGTTGTCGAGGTTGTCGTAGAAGTTGTGCTCGTAGAAGTTTTTGGTTTAAAGATGACTGATGGCTTGTGATGGTTTGGCAGTGAAGGTGGTTTGGGGGAAGATGAAGGAGGAGGAAAAAGGAGGTCCTCATCGTTTGGCACTGGAGTGGTAGTTGAGCTGGAGGAGCCGAGAATGTCAATGACCGGGGCAGAGGTGGCAAAGACGCCCAGTGCGTGCTCGCCGGTCAGTGAGCTGTTTCCAGTAGGCCTCTGCAAAAAACTGTGTTAGTAGAAATAAAATGGCAAAGAAAACCCCAGCAGTTTACAAATGGCCTGATGCCCTGGAGGCCGTCCACCGGACAGCAGACGCCCGGGAGGAGGAGGTTGCGAAAGC